TCTGCACAAGCTGTGAAAGTGGCACATTTTGAAGTTGTGTCGTTCCATGCGCATGTGCCTACTGCATCACATGTTGGTTATGTTGTGTATGTAGTGCAATCAACTGTTTTGGCTGAACATGAAGAATCAGCTGATGACCAAGTACATCCACCCTTACAATCAGCAGATTAAACAATTTCTGTGCAATCACATTCATTTGTAGCTGTCAAGGCATTGACTGAAAGAGAAATCATGGCTATGAGCAATAATTATGTCTTCATTTTAATATTTTAAATTTAGTATTATATCTTAAATTTCAATAAATTTGGGTTATAAAGTGCTACAGGTAAATCACTTTTACAAAATAAAAAAATTAAAATCATTTTATCAGTTCTTTTTAAATTTTCATTCAAATGCAAATTAAATTGTCAAAAAATGATTTTTTTTTTATTATTTTTTAAAGCTGCTGGGTTAACTTTGTAAAAAATATGCAAACATTTCTAATGAAAGTTTGAAATTTATAAATAATAACATCCTTATTACCAATTCCTCATTTCATAGCATTTTTTAATCTTGATTATCATATGGTCATTCTTGAGTATCATATAAAAATGTGTTTTTTTGTTTTCATTTTTTATTGCTAGTCATAAAATCCCCAACATTTAGCATTCTACAGATGATAATTACCATGGTCTCTTGTTCATCCATCATGGAAGAGGGTAATAAATATACATGGAATTATTCTATAAAAACATTGATATTTATAGAATTATATAGAATGCTTACTACATACTTCTTTAACATTAAAACAGAAAAACATAGTGTAAAAAAGGGGCCTAAATATAAAGACTCTTAAGCCATTTTATTTGGTATGAACGAAGATTTTCTTAATTTTTCATGTTTAAACCAAAAAATTCCCTTTTTACAGTTTTAGATCGAGCAAATCTCAAAAAAATTGATTTTACATAGAGTTAGTACCAAAGAAGTTCGATTGAAAAATATAATGAATTTTTTAGAATATAATTTATATTTCAAGCTCATACTGATACTGATAATGTTAATTGTCAAACAACATTTTTTAAGAATTTCTTAAAAGTTGGACTTAAAAATTTCCTCTATTTTTCAAATGGAGCTTATAAATGAATTGATTAGAAATATAAAGAAAAATAATAGATAAATTCCTTTTCTCTTTAAAATAATATTTTCTAAGTATATAAAATTAACTGAGAATGTACATGTATTTGAATTATAAAATGTTGAAAAAAAACTTATCATTTTTTTATAATAATAATAATTATAATAAATACATTATACAACATTTATCTACTTAATCTTTCCAAGAAAGATTATTAAAGTAGTATGGCTAAAATTATAATCCTTCCTTGAATTATATTGGCTACAAATTGAATATTAATATCATTATTCATCCTAAGTTAGATGATTAAAAATACTAATTAAATAGGTATTCTCTGATTCCTTATAATCCAATAAAGTATTTAAGAAGTTAAATTATCCAAAATTTCTAAATATTTAATTAACAACACCTTTTAATATTTTGTGCAAAAGGTCTGCTTCAAAAACTGTAACTGAGATTATAACTGTTATAATGGAATGAAAGAATCTTATTTTTGAATTTGGAGTTGATTGATGAGGCAAAAATAGGATTTGCTATAAGATTTTCTTTTTTTTCTCATGTGCTTAATCTTTATACCAGTTTCTAAGTAAATTAAATCTTAGAAATTCAAATTTGACTAGGCAATAATACTAATTATTAAAGCAAATGCTCTGGATATTGGTATAATATAATTTATCTTGCAATAACTTTGTACAGATTTTATTGCAGAATCATTATATATATTTGATAGAATTTAATTACTGAAATATATGGAATTTTTCATCCAATTCTGAAATAATATTCCAAATAGCCATTACTATACATATTTTGAACGGTTGAACTCCTAGTGATTTAATGCTACAATATTATATACTTGTTTAAAGTTTTATTATATTTTTGTATAAAATAAAGATGTCCAATTGAATCATCTTATGACCATTTTGTAATATATACATTAAAATGTTCACATTTTAAGCTGAGTGATAGATTGGCTATCGTTTTCAATTCAATCTCTTTTCCTTTGCATCAGACAGATTTAGATTAGATAAAGAAAAATAATATTTACAATCACTTGGCTAAAAAAAAATTTTTAATTTGGATTACGTTTTTAATATAATAGTTTCATGAATTGATAAAACAATTTTAAAAGATAAAAGTTAATATAATATATTGAATGTAATTTTGAAAAATAATTGATTGATAATTTTATATTTAATACTGAATCAGAACATAAGCATAGCGATGAATCCAATGAATGCCAAAATATATCCGTTGCTGCTTGATCCTGAACATTCTGAGCAAGCACTTCCATCCCAATAATAATAACCGGCTGTTTTATCAAAGCAATTTGCTGAAGTCAAGGCACTTACATCAGCAGCATCACCACATTTACTGGTAGAAGAATTCCAAGAACAAATATTAACACCTGAGAAATCGTCTGTTGAGACTGTGTCACAAGCTTCAGCAGTGGTCATATCAGCACAAGTATTTGCAGCACAAGCACCAGCTGAAGTCCATTTACATAAAAGTGTGCAGACATCTTAATCTGTAATTGTGGAGCATTTTGAAACATCAATTTATGAGCAAGTACTAGCTTTGAACCAGCAAACAGCATTACTGCTTGGTGACTTAAAATTACAATCTGCTGCATTTGAAAAGCTTGAGCATGTGACTGATCCTGTCTTGCATGGTGTTTTTCCATCTGTACCAGTTGTTCCTGGAACACAGGTTGAGTCTTTGGCATAGCATTAAGCAGAGGTTGTAACGGTGTAATCTGCACAAGCTGTGAAAGTGGCGCATTTTGAGGTTGTGTCGTTCCATGCGCATGTATTTACTGCATCACATGTTGGTTATGTTGTGTATGTAGTGCAATCAACTGTTTTGGCTGAACATGAAGAATCAGCTGATGACCAAGTACATCCACCCTTACAATCAGCAGATTAAACAATTTCTGTGCAATCACATTCATTTGTAGCTGTCAAGGCATTGACTGAAAGAGAAATCATGGCTAAGAGCAATAATTATGTCTTCATTTTAATTTTTAAATTTAGTATTATATCTTAAATTTTAATAAAATCGGTTATAAAGTGCTACAGGTAAATCACTTTTTCAAAATAAAAAAATTAAAATCATTTTATCAGTTCTTTTTAAATTTTTATTCAAATGCAAATTAAATTGTCAAAAAATGATTTTTTTTTTAATTATTTTCAAAGGTCTTGAAAAACTTTTACAGAAAATACTAATATCCTTTATCAAAGTTAAGTAATTTATAAATGATTACATCCTTAATACCAATTCTCATCTCATTGCATTTTTTGTAATTCTAGAGTTTTCTATAACAATTGTTTTTTTTTTTTTTCAATTTTTATTACTTATCCTAAAATTCACAACATTTAGTGTTCTACAGAAGATAATTACATAGTGTATTGTAAATTCATCATAGAAGAGAGTAATACATCCACATGGAATAATTCTATAAATATATTGATACATGTTGAATTATATAGAATGTATACTACATACTTCTCTAACCTTAAAAACAGAAAAAAAAGAGTGTTAAAGTAAGGAGCTTTAGAAAAAAGACTCTTAAAGCCATTTTATTTGGTAGGATCCAACTTCTTAATATTTTTCTTATCTTAACTATATAATTAACGTTTTGCAGTTTTAGATCAAGCAAATCGCATAAAAATTGACTTTGCTTAGATTAAGCACCAAAAGAACGTGATTTGGACTGAAAAAACTAGAAATTGTTGAGTAATGCTTAATTTATATTTCAACCAATATATACTCATAATGTTAATTCTCTGATAACAATATTAAAAGATTTTTTAAAAGTTGGACTCCAAAAACTACCTCTATTTTTTCAAATTGAGCTTATAAATCAATTGATCTAAAAAATAAAATAAAATGGAGGCTAACTTCTTTTTCAATATAAAACAATATTTTCTTGGTTTATCAAAGTACTGAGAATTTATGTTTATTAGAATTATAAATTTCAGAAAAAGACATCATCTTTGTTTAGAAATAATTATAATAATAACATTGTTCTTGCCTGTAGCATTCTTCTATTCATTTATATTAAAATTTCAAAGAAGTATTATTATGCTAAAAGTTTGATTCAAAGGTAGTAACTAAAGTTACAGCTGTTAAATTGGAATGGAATGGATTAAGTATAATTCGAATTTAAATTGAAGGGTGAATTACATGATGAATGATGAGGGGAAAAACGAGGTTTTATAATAATTGATAATTTATTTCAAAATCAGCTTCTTAGTTATCGTTTGCATTTCTAATTTAAGTAAAGGGAAAGTGGTACAATATGAATGATTCTAAGTCAAATCTCAAACTTCAATCTTTGAATAATAATCATAAATCAAAAAAAGTCATCAATCTATTATTCTAATTGCTACCTTTTATTGTTATTCTTTAAAGTAATGCCTTTGATATTGGTATAGTATTATTGAATTTGCAATCACTGAGTATACATATCTATCAAAATCTAATTAATGAATTAGAGGAAATTAATAATTATTCAATATACACTCTTCTAAAAGTTCATAATCCCTCCTATGTTCCTTTACTTAATTAAGTTTTAATTATATATCATTTAGCTATCTATAAAACAGATTTCTTAATAGAATCTTAGAATGCAAATTTAACTATATTGAAAATACAATACTAATATTTACAAATTTATACATCTTTAAACATATTTTACCATAATTCCAATTCAGAACTAGCATTCAATATAGCCATTACTATACTTAATTTCAACCGTTTTATCTCTTAGTGATTTATGTTTAAATTATAAAGCAACATATTGCTTTTTATAAAATCAAATCTTGAACCTTATTATTTTGTAACTTTAATAGATAAATAATATAGTATGTTTCTATGTTAGTGTAAATTTTAATTAAAATATTATATTATATTGAAATAATAATTGATTGATAATTTTATATTTAATACTGAATCAGAACATAAGCATAGCGATGAATCCAATGAATGCCAAAATATATCCGTTGCTGCTTGATCCTGAGCATTCTGAGCAGGCACTTCCATCCCAATAATAATAACCGGCTGTTTTATCAAAGCAATTTGCTGAAGTCAAGGCACTTACATCAGCAGCATCACTACATTTACTGGTAGCAGAATCCCAAGAACAAATATTAACACCTGAGAAATCGTCTGTTAAGACTGTGTCACAAGCTTCAGCAGTGGTCATATCAGCGCATGTATATGCAGCACAAGCACCAGCTGAAGTCCATTTACATAAAATTGTGCAGACATCTTAATCTGTAATTGTTGAGCATTTTGAAACATCAATTTATGAGCAAGTATTAGCTTTGAACCAGCAAACAGCATTACTGCTTGGTGACTTAAAATTACAATCTGCTGCATTTGAAAAGCTTGAGCATGTGACTGATCCTGTCTTGCATGGTGTTTTTCCATCTGTACCAGTTGTTCCTGGAACACAGGTTGAGTCTTTGTCATAGCATTAGTCAGCGGCTGTTACGGTGTAATCTGCACAAGCTGTGAAAGTGGCACATTTTGAAGTTGTGTCGTTCCATGCGCATGTATTTACTGCATCACATGTTGGTTATGTTGTGTATGTAGTGCAATCAACTGTTTTGGCTGAACATGAAGAATCAGCTGATGACCAAGTACATCCACCCTTACAATCAGCAGATTAAACAATTTCTGTGCAATCACATTCATTTGTAGCTGTCAAGGCATTGACTGAAAGAGAAATCATGGCTATGAGCAATAATTATGTCTTCATTTTAATTTTTAAATTTAGTATTATATCTTAAATTTCAATAAATTTGGTTATAAAGTGCTACAGGTAAATCACTTTTACAAAATAAAAAAATTAAAATCATTTTATCAGTTCTTTTTAAATTTTCATTCAAATGCAAATTAAATTGTCAAAAAATGATTTTTTTTTTTTTATTATTTTTCAAAGCTCTTGAAGCAAACTGTGCAAAAAATACTAAAAAGTCTTTAGTGCAGGGATGAAATTTATAAATATTAAAATCCTTATTACCAATTCCTCATTTTATTGCATTTTTGTAATTCTAGAGTATTCTATAACAATTGTTTTTTTGTATTCATTTTTATTGCTAATTCTAAAATACAGAACAATTCGTCACAAGCAGAGGATGATTACCATGTTGTCTTTTACATTCATTATAGAAGAGACTATAAAGTTTCCATGGAGTTATTCTATAAATATATTGATATATATTGAATTATATAGAATGTATACTACGTACTTCTCTAACCTTTTAAACTGAAAAAAAAGAGTGTGAAAGCAAAGAGATCTAATAAAAGGACTCTTTAAGCCATTTTATTTGGTATGAACAAACTTTTTAATATTTTTCATATTTTAACTAAATAATTAGCTTTTTGCAGTTTAAGATCAAGCAAATCACATAAAAATTGAATTTGCATAGAGTAAATACCAAAAGAACTTGACTTCGATTGAAAAGAATGATAATTGTTTAGTATATATAATTTATATTTCAAAGAATATACTGATAATTTTAATTTTCAGATATTAAAAGTTGAATTAAAAAACGACTTCTATTTTTTTCATGTGGAGATTATAAATCAATTGATTAGAAAATATTAGAACTATTAATTGAAGGAAGACGATATCAACTTTGCTTATAAATAATTATACTATAAAAAATTTTATATTGCATGTGTCATCTATTAATTGACATTAAAATTTCTAATAAAGATTATTAAGCTAAAAGTTTGATTCAAAGACAGTAGATAAAGTATAGCTTTTAATTTTGAATGGGTTAAGTGTATTTTAGAATTTGGATTTGAAGGGTGAATTGCATGATGAGGGCAAAAATGTGGGTTTATTTTTAATAGATAATTTATTTCAAGTTCAGCTTCTAATTATCGATTACATTTTCTAATTAAGTAAAGAGGAAAAATTATACAATTTGTAATGATTCTAAGTCAAACTTCAAACTTCAATTTTATAATAATCATCAAATAGAACGACTAATTAATTATTCCAATTACTACCTTTTAACGTTATTCATTAAAGTTATGCCGTTGATTTTGGTATAATATGATTATTTTGCAATCACTTGGTATAAATTTAATTTAATTTTGATTTATGATATATATTTAGAAAATTCTAATTAAAGAATTAGAAGGAATTATTATGTCCTACTTTACTATATATCTTAATAACTATTTTATTAATCAAATTGAAAATATATACACTTTTCTAAAATTATATAATCCCTCCTATTTTCCTTTATTTAATTAAAACTTAATTAATTATCTTTTAACTAACTATAAAATAGATTTCTTATCAGTTATTTGGTAAACTTAATCTGCAATTAAATATATTGAAAATAAAATAATACATCTTCAAGCATATTTTGCTCTAATTCAGTTCTGAACTAACATTTCATTATTATACTTACTTTCACCATTTGTTCTCCTGGTTACAATAGAGAGGAGCGAAATGTTTTTTAAAATCAAATCTTAAACTTTACTATGGTGTTAATTTTAATATACGAAAGTACATATAATATGTTTATGTGTAATATTGAATTAAAATAATGAAATAATAATTGATTGATAATTTTATATTTAATACTCAATCAGAACATAAGCATAGCGATGAATCCAATAAATGCCAAAATATATCCGTTGCTACTTGACCCTGAGCATTCTGAGCAAGCACTTCCATCCCAATAATAATATCCTACTGTTTTAGCAAAGCAATTTGATGATGTCAATGCACTTACATCAGCAGCATCACTACATTTACTGGTAGCAGAATCCCAAGAACAAATATTTATACCTGAGCCATCATCCATCATTACTGCGACACAAGAGTCAGCAGTGGTCATATCAGCGCATGTGTATGCAGCACAAGCACCAGCTGTAGTCCACTTACAAGCAACTTGGCATATATCTTAATCTGTGATTACTGAGCATTTTGAAACATCAACTTATGAGCAAGTACCAGATTTGAACCAGCAAACAGCATTATCACTTGGTGACATACCGTTACAATCTGAGGCACTTGTAAAGGTTGAACATGTGATTGTTCCTGTTTTGCATGGAGTTTTTCCATCTGTACCAGTTGTTCCTGGAACACAGGTATCATCTTTGGCATAGCAAGCTCTAGCGACTGCGACTGTGTAATCTGCGCAAGCTGTGAAAGCAGCACACTTTGAAGTTGATTCGCTCCATGCACATCCTTTATAATTATCACATGTATCTTATGTAAATGAAGTGCAATCAAGTGTCTTTGTTGAACATGAAGAATCAGCTGATGACCAAGTACATCCACCCTTACAATCAGCAGATTAAACAAGTTCTGTGCAATCACATTAAGTTGTGGCAGTCAAGGCATTGACTGAAAGAGATATCATAGCTATCAGCAATAATTATGTCTTCATCTTAATATTTTAAATTTAGTATTATATCTAAAATTTCAATAAACTTGGGTTATAAAGAGCTACAGGTAAATCACTTTTACAAAATAAAAAAATTAAAATCATTTTATCAATTCTTTTTTAATTTTCATTCAAATGCAAGTTTAATTTTCAAAAAATGATTTTTTTTTTATTATTTTTCGAAGCTATTGAAGAAAACTTTGCAAAAAATACGAAAGCCGTTAGTGATAGTATGAAATTTATAAATAATAACATCCTTAATACCAATTCCTTATCTCATTGCATTTTTATAATTCTTAGGTATCCTAGAGCAATTGTCTTTTTTGTATTCATTTTTTATTGCTAATTCTAAGATACAGAACATCTAGTGTTTTACAGATGATAAATTCCATTGTGTCTTGTACATTCATTATAGAAGAGACTATAAAGTTTACATGGAGTTATTCTATAAATGTTTGATATATATTGAATTATATAGAATGCTTACTACATACTTCTCTAACTTTAAAAACAGGGAAAGAATATTTAAAAGCAAGGAGCTTTAATAGCAAATACTCATTGCGCATTTGTATTTGGTATGACCCAATTTTTCATATTTTAAGTTAATTATTAGCTTTTGCAGTTATAGATTCAGCAAATCAACATAAAATTGATTTTGCATAGAGTAAGTACAAAAGGAAAAGAAATTGTTTTCATTAATTTTCAAAATGGAACTTCTAAATCAATTCATGATAAAATTATATAATATATTTGAAGTTAACCTCTTTTTCTATCTAGATCTATATTTCCTCATTTATGATTAGAGATTCAGATTCCTAAAAGAAATTTATAGTTATAAAACAACACAAATTTTACAATAAGTTTTTATGTTATAAATAAAGTAGAAGAATGTTACTAATTAATAATATAAACAATTATATTTGAATTAAAAAGAATATAATATTAATTATTATTACCATTTATAAAGGACAAAACAATTATCGATATAAAGAAATTTTTCTTAATATATTTACACTCTTTATTTATACAGATATATAAATTATTAGTTGAATTTCGCGAGGTAGAAAATGGAATCCTTGTCCATTTAGAAGATTAATATAACATTTTAAAATTTATGATATAATCCAATTTTTCCAATTCTAATTATAAATAAAAAAGTAGTGTAATCCTTTTTTTGATTTATTGACGTAAATATCTGCTAGTAAAACTGTAATAAAAATTTAATTGCAATCACTAAGTATACTTTAAAATTAATGTTATTTTTTTTAAATTATGCTATAAAGTTCTTACAACTAAATCTCCTAGATACAAGGTAGTATTCACTCCTACTGTTATAATTCATATATATATAATTATTTGATTTATTAAATTTTTATATATATAGTAAAATAAAATTCCAGAACATCTTCCAACTTTATAATTAAATAGATGAATCATTTGTATATTCAAAGGTTATTCATAACTTATCATAATCAGATGCATTTATTTATTATAGAATAATCCCAATCTCGTTGAAATTAAATTGTAAATAATTTCTTATTACATTAAGAATACATAAGAACCCTCCAAGGTTATCATATATTAACTACTTAAATTGTTGGATGTTATTCATAGATTTTTTCATGTTATCTAAACTAGAATATCAATGAATAGTGTTTCATCAATGATTTATTACCTTAAAAGCTGTGTATTCCCTGAATAATTAGATTTAATTATAATTTATAAATTAATATTAACTCAAAAGGAGAGATAATATTTAAGTGGAATGATATACTATTCACTTTTAATATATAAAAATAAATATTTAGTTTGTACGTGAATTAAATTATACAGAAATTATTTAAATATCTTAAAAATGGGATAGGGATCATCCAAATTTTACGCAGTTCCAGTGGGAGAGAAGAAAGATGGAGAAAGTCATGTCTATAGAAATCCAAATAATACTCATAAGCTTCTAGATAACTTTGAAGGAGAAACTACAGTTTAAGGAATTTTCTTAAGATCTTGCCAGAAATATCCAAACAATAGATGCTTGGGCAAGTAGGTAGTCACGGGAGAGAATAGTAGACATTATGTTTACAAAACCTATCTTGAAGTCAGAAATGTTGCAGAGTAAAATCTTAAATAGAATCTAGATAGCTTGGGTCAGGTATAAAGAATTTGAATTTGATTCCAAATCCAGTGATGTATGAGGGATAGGAATTGAGAATGATAGGAATATTCTCGAAAAACAGAGAAGAATGGCTACTTCTTGATATAGCGAATACATTGTATGGAAACACAATGATTCCCTTATATGATACATTAGGATTGGAAAGTATTCCTTACATTCTAGAGCAAACTTAGCTAAGCACCTTATTCATTTCAAGTACTAGTGTGGAAACTCTTTTAAAAGTAAAAGAGTGTCATGCTCTAAAGTTTGTCGTCACATTTGATGAATTACCTTAAGATAAGGTTTAACAGGTAATTCTAATTAATATTCGATTAGTTTAGCGATAAAGGAATAAAAGTATTTAATTATGAAGAAGTATTGAATGCTGGAAAGGAGAAAATTCATCCACTTGCCGAAGTACATGGAAATGACATATTCACATTCAGTTATACATCAGGAACTACTGGAATGCCAAAAGGTGTTATGTTAAGACATTTAAATTTTGTCACAGTAGCAGGAGGAGTTGTTTATTAGGGAATTTAACTATATCCAACTGATGTCTATTTGAGTTATCTACCATTGCCTCATGTGTTAGAGAGAGTTGTAGTAACAGCATTACTTGGATTTGGCTGCACAATCTGTATGTATGGCGGAGATGTATTAAAAATCTCTGTTGATATTTAATTGGTAAAGCCAACTATTTTTGTGAGCGTTCCTAGATTGTATAGAAGATTGTACAATGCAATTAAAGAAAAGGCAGAAAAGGTAGAAGGATATAAAAAAACTTTATTTGAAAAGGGGTTAGCCAGCAAGATGTATTATTTGTAAAATGGAGGACATGTTTAACACAAAGTTTGGGACAACTTAGTATTCAAAGCAACAAAAGAAGCATTTGGTGGTAGAGTCAGATTAATGTTATCTGGATCAGCACCAATGTCACCTGAAGTAGTAGATTTCTTGAAATGTGTTGTGTGTGCTCCATTCCTTGAAGGATATGGTCAGACTGAAGGATGTGGTGGTTCTTTCATTAGTAGAGCTGATGACCCTATTAGTGGACATGTTGGAGGTGTCTTCTCAAACATCGAATTTAAAGTTGTTGATGTTCCATAAATGAACTATTTTAGCACTGATAAAGATGAACAAGGAAGACCCACTCCTAGAGGAGAAATCTGTACTTAATCATTCATTATTTTTAGGCATTAGAGGAAATGGATTGTTTGCTGGATATTACAAAGAACCTGAAAAAACAAAGGAAATGATTGATGCTGATGGCTGGATGCATTCTGGAGACATTGGATTGATCAGACCTGATGGATCTTTAAAGATTATTGATAGAGTTAAAAACATTTTTAAGTTAAGTCAAGGTGAATACATTGCTCCAGAAAAAGTGGAAGGAGTCTATCTGAAGGTTAAAGGAATTGCTGAAGTATTTGTCTATGGAGATTCAACCAAAAGCTTTTGTGTAGCTATTATTGTTCCTGAAAAACCATTTGTCTTAGACTTAGCAAACACATTAGGAATCTAAGGTTCATTTGAAGAGTTGTGTGCAAATGATAAAGTAAATAAACACTTTTTTGATGAAATGGTTAAAAAAGTATTCATTACATCTAATACTTTAGGGTAAAGCTGAGAAATTGAATGGTATGGAAAATGTCAAGAAAATCTACATAGAACCAACTTCCTTTATTGCTCATGGTTTAACTAGTAATACACTTAAGTTGATGAGACACAAGGCAAGGGAACATTTTCTTAAATAAATTGAGGCTATGTATTAAGGAAGCGAATGAATATGAGAAACACATGTTAAAAATACAATTATCATTATACAGTTTTTCATTTTAAAATTGCATATGATCCTGTTAGGCAAACGCCACATGTATCTCCAGAAGCAAGATTTATATAGCCTTGTTCTCCCCAATCCTATCCCCAAGAATTTCTGACCTTCCAAACTCCATTCTTATTAATTCCTACTAATACTACTCCATGGTTTAAATATTTTTTACAATCAGAAAATACTCCACTTGCTATAATAAATCTGATAATATTTATACAATAAAATCTCCAATTTGTTGCATCCACTCCTACAGAAACTGATTATTATATGAGAGCATTTGAAATATCTTGACATCCATCCAAATCTACATATCCAATCACTCTTCTGAAATTTCTTTCAACTGACTTGCAAATGCCATCTTCTCCTTTATAAGGATAAACTTTTGTTTCAGCTATTCCTGAATCGATTATATAATCCAAAGCAGATTCCATCCATCCACCATCACATCCAGCATTACCATAAGGACCAGCACAATCTACTAAATCTTGTTCTGATAAATCAACTATTTCATTGAATTAGATCTTTGTATTGATTTCTAAGGCTCCTACAGCTGAAAATGCCCAACATGATCCACAATCACCTTAATCCTTAATTGCTGGAACCTTTCCTTTCTGTACCCAATCTACTTCTTCTTACACTAAAAAAGGTTCCTCATTTTTTTAAATGTTTTTAACTCTTGCTGGCATTTATAAATTTAAATATATTGTCAAGAACTCCTAATCTGTTAAATCCCCAAACTTATTAATTTTTTACTTATAGCTATTGTTTTATGAATTAAAATCTTCAATCTTCATTATGTTTTATTAGTATATTGAAAATCTATATATCTGTTCATTCTGGGTTGGATATCTTTTGTTATACTTTTGTTGCCATTCTTAATATTGCTTAATAATTTTAAATTAATCGTGATCATTTTGTTCATAAAATTTCGAAAAATATACCCCAGCACTTAGTAGTGATAAGAACCCTGCAATAAATAAACTTTTTTCCATATTAATACAATTATTTTAATAATAAGCTATTAAACATTTATTAAATTGAAAATTCTGAGCAAAAAAATTAGACAAAAATTAACATTTATTCATTACTCAAATATATATAGATTCAGTTATTTATGACTTTTGAATTGATTTCTCAAAAAAATAATTAATTCACACTATTTAAAGGATAATTATTAGGAGGGTATTGTTTCAGGTATTTATATCTATAGATTTTTTACGTTCATAATAAATACGAGAGAATTTTCTTAAACTAATTAAGAGAGTATTTTTGTCAGGTAATTGCATGTAGAGATTAAGTTATCAGAATTTAGTTGATATTGCACATTTTTGGAGGATAGAGTTGAGAAAGAAAAGTTATTTTTTTGATGAATTATTTACATAATTTAATTAAATAATGGGAACATGTTGTGGTACGTAGAGTTAATTGTAAATTGTGATGCCAAAATTTGAACTGTCTATCCTGAGTGTCTATACTTAAAAAGCTATTTTGATACAAAGAGCTTACAGATGTATAATTGGTTTAAACAATAAATAGAGTTCAAGCATCGGAAGAGAAGAAATACAGTTCCAGTATCTATTACAAACGACAGCTAGAGAAGTCATTAGGAGCCTATAGAAATTACAATTGTTCATTAGTAACCGTAAGATGAAGTTGCATAGATGGAATAGATTGAAGAAGTGCCTGTCGTTTTAGATCATTCTCCTCCTGATGGAGTCAAAATAGATAGAAAATAAAGTGAATATCCTGCATCAATCAACTCCTTGATATTTCGAATTGGGAACTTTAATTATAAGGAATATCTAAAGAAGGAAAGTTAAAATTATGAAGAAGAAGAATTGAATGCAGCTTTTTTAGATCCGTATTTACTTACTGATGGAACAATATATTTAGGTTAATGGAAATTGGGTAAAAGGCATGGAAAGGGCAGAGCAATTTTTTAAGATAAAAGTGTATACGAAGGATTTTGGAAAAATGACAAAATGGATGGTTATGGGAGGTTGATATTTGTTAATGGAGATTACTATGAAGGAGAATTCAAGGAGAATAAAGCTAATGGATTTGGAAAATAGGTGACATCCTAAGGATATTCATACGAAGGCTATTGGGTGAATGATAAATAGTAGGGCGAAGGAACCGAAAAGTTCTCAGATGGGACTAATTTTTCAGGAAAATTTGTCGATGGAAATAAAACCGGAATTGGCGAGTTTGTTTTTTCAGATGGATCCAAGTATTAGTTCAGCTAAAACAAAGGTATAAAGGTTCAATTGTTAACAATAAATTTAATGGAAAAGGAGTGTTTCATTTTTCAGATGGTCGTAAATATGATGGGTAATGGAAAGATAATTAAATGGATGGTTATGGTACATTTACTTGGCCTGATGGTAGATGTTATGATGGATATGTAAATGATATTATAATGATTAGTATGTGAAAGATAAAAAGCATGGATTTGGGGATTTCACATATACTGATGGATCAATGTATAAGGGCAATTGGGTTGATGGCAAAGAACATGGACAAGGAACTTTCTATTCTAAAAGTGGATTGTACAGAGAAGGTGAATGGATTAATGGCAAAAGAGTAAAATGGACTTCTTCATACTAAACTTCCTGAATACAAAAGAAGATACTAATTTAATTCTTGTTTTTCTTTCATAATTTTTTAATAATTAGATTATATTTATGCCTCATATTAAGTTACCTAATTATCGACTTGGTATTTCACCATCAGTTAGATCTTCATATAAAATGGACAATTTGAATCCATCATAAAAATTAGATCTGGTGGCAGCTCGTATATTCGGAATATCCTTTGGTGGTAATTTAAGAAATGGAATGAAGGCAATAAAGAGATTAGATTCAGGCTAAAATAGAGCTAGATAATACAGTGTCCCTGTATGGAATCCAGCGTAATGATATATAATTAGCTAAAAGACAATGGTTTCCATTTATGACATAATGGAAAAAACTTGAATTCAATAGGAAACTAGTAGATGGTAGAAAAATGAGAATTATGATGAGAGGTGTCAAAATAGGTAGATAAAAGGGAGGAGAGAAAATCTCAATTCTTAACATTTATGAGCGCAAGAAGGCTAGTATGGAGTGATAATACATAAAATAATGTTATATTTATAAAAATAGACAAGAAATTAGCAATATTAATGAATTAATATATACTTCTTATTGCATTTTTATTTATTACAAATGCTTTGATGACAAGGTTGTGTGATTGCAATGAAATAACAAACTAATTTTCATGTATGCTTAACCAAATGTGCAAGTGGAAGTCAAATAGTTGTCAATTTAAAAGGTGCGAAGAAATTATTAGTGTTTAAGAATGTTATCGATTAAAATACTGCTTTTACAATTCTATAGATTAAAAATGCTAAGAATTAACAGATTGTAGTATGTTGACCGCTGCATCTCAAACTGAGTGTACTGATCAATCAATGTATTGTGGAATCTATAATTCTGAATTAAAGCAATGCTAAGCTTTAAGTATTAAAAATTGCAATATGTATACAACATAATAGGAGTGCTAATATAGAAGTCAATATTAAGAATGCAGTTGGAAGAATTAATAATGCTAAGAATTTGATTGTACTGTATTAAAATCCTAAAAAGAGTGCTTATAGTATTATTATATTTGTATTTGGGTAATTGAAAATTAATAGTGTATTCCTGCTTCATGCTATCAAAAACCTATTACCGATTGCTCTTTTGTTATTGGGGTACAAAATTATCAATTCTTTTTCTAACCCTGTTTGGTTGACTACTCAGAAGGTCAAGGCAAATGTAGGGATGCTAATTTATCTGAATTATCTCCTCTTACATGCAGTTTAAATACAGGTAATGCTGCCACATGGAGTGACAAGAGGCTGGATAGTGGAAGTTGTTAAGAATGCGATGTCTATATTATTAAAATCTTAGTAATAACATTATTAATGATGATATTATGAGAGTGAATTACATAATGATTTATTGTTGTAATAAATTAACTTTATTTATGAATACTTAAAGGAGACAATCTATTATAAGTTTTCTTAATATATATTAAATCCTGATGGCACCTTTAAGTATTTAAAGAAAATAAGCCGATTATAAATGATTCTAGTTTGCATCCATTATATGAATTTGTTGAAGTGGAGATGAATTATTTAAGAAGTGAAATATGGCATAAATTATACTAGGTTTTTTTGATAGAACCAAAAGTTTATCTATGTTTTTAGTGGTTCACCTTACTTCTCCTTATCTGCTTATAGGTATTCGAAAAAATTGATGGATTAAGCATAAGAGATTTTATAAATATAAATTAATATATTCCTTTTTCTCTATGATTTAGGATTTCACTTTTTAACGAATATCTTCCTCATCTATGTAAACCATTGAACTAAAATCAAGGTTTATTATTCAAAAGAATATTGGATACGGTGATTATGGGTAAGTTGATCATTTCAATCTTAGAACTGTATATCAAGGTGTGAATATGCACACCAGAGAGACAGTTGCCATCAAAGAATTAAGTCATTGTATAAGTGATGAAGGGGTTTGATATATTATTCTATATAAGATAAATGCTTAGGCATTAAGAGAGATTGAAATACTCCGATCTCTTCATTGTGATTAAATAGTGTTATTTAAAGAATTAGCTTATCAAAAAAGAAACACATATATAATAATGGAATATATGGAGGAAGATCTGCTTACAGCTATGAAAAGAGACATCTTCACTGAGGTCTAAGCCAAGTAGATTATGTTTTAAGTGTTGAAAGGCTTAGCTTATTTACATGATATAGGTATAATACACAGAGATCTTAAACGTAAAACTGTTGAAACCTACTTTAGCTAACAATATTTTACACAAAAATTTAACTATTAAAATTTGTGATTTGGGAATGGCTCAAAATTTAAAAAAATTCAAGCCTCAAACCACCAGAATATAAAATCATCAATACAGGGCTCCGGAAGTGTTCCTTGGTTTATTAAATGATTAATATTAGGTTAAAAATATTGCTCTAAGGTTGATGTTTGGTCAGCTGGAGTTTTATTTATCGAACTTCTATTTAGAGGCAATCCTTTCAAGGGATCGTCTGAAACCAATAGTTTTCAATAAATTTTAAAATTATGTGGAACTCCTACTGAAGGTAATTGATAAATAGTCAATTTTCATAGAAACTTGGAAAGGAGTCACTACATTAAAAAATTATCCTAAATTGATTAACAATGAGAGTTTTCCCAAGATTTTACATAAAATGCTTGAAAGGAAAATGTCTCCCCTCTTAGTAAATCTCATAGACTAGATGTTAATTCTTGATCCTACCAAAAGGATATCTGCTCATTTGGCTCTATAACATTTATACTTCAAGGGTACGAATATAGAGAGGTAATTATCGCTCACATAAAAAGATGTCTCAAAATGAATTATTTAGGAATGAAAAGAGTTAAAACTTAAAGTCAAACTGACACTTAAGTACATAATTATCCTGATGGAAAAAGAATAATTGTTATTTCGAAAAAATACTGAAAAACAATTTTTTATGCTTTTGAGGAAGATTGCTAAACTTTGGGCTAGTAAATCAAATTATCTGGTATCATTCAACCCAATTAATTCTCCTAAATAATCAAATAGAGTAGATATAATTCATATTAAAAAAATATGCCTTATAGATACTCTTTGATAAAGTTGAATGGTAATTCTTTATTTAAAAATAGCTTTCATAATCAGATACATGTTTTACTTTCTCTGCAAATGCATTTTCTTCAAAAACTAATATGAAAATAATTTATAATATATATTAACTACTACAATTTTCTTCTAATTTTCGAATTAATATAAGTTAAGTGATAAAACCAATTTTTAATTAATTAAACTATTTATCAAATCAACTTGAAAAAACATAAATTATTTTATAATATATGGGTTGTACATCCACAAAATTAAAAAATAAGAAGGATCTATGCTTTATAAATGTTCCTCTACAAGCTGGAAGAAAAATGAGCAAAGAAGAAGGAATCATTACCAGAGAATATAAAATTAAACTCGACAAGGATCCACTAAGGGAAAAAGTAGATAGTTAGTGAAGTATCACCCTTAACTGAAGGAAAGATTATTTCAAACAATTTTATAAAGGATGTACCATAAGATTAATGATTTTTAATACTAAGTGTTTATGTTTTGAGTTATTCTATAAACTTTATACACAAACTTGTAATTTAATTACATATAGCTAAATTTCTGCCAGTATCGACTCAATTTTTCTTGTCTATCTATTCTCGTTAGACCGAAAAATTTATTATTAAAATTATTTCCCTCAAAATTCGTTTTTTCACTAAATTAATGTATTTAAATTTACTCAAATTGGCACTCTACCATCTATATGGTAACAGAACTGATGAATTGGATGTAAAATTTGGATAATATATACTTAGTGCAATTATGTTATTAATTATCTTAAAATATTTATCAAGGGAGCGACGACTTAAGAATTTCATTTAAATTTTCTAATGAACATTAAAATAAATGTTCAATCGGAATTTAGTAAAACTCATGTCGGCTATTATAAATTAAAAATCTTCATTAAAAAAATAATTTAAATTATAAAATAGAAATTAATTCCAATTCTTACATATCTTTTTTTAATAAGCCATATATTCTATTTGAATAGGACGACATGAGTTTATAATCCTTTGATTAGATTAAATTAATTAACTTTATAATACTCATAAAGATCTAAAATCACTCATTAATGCTTTAATATAATTTCAATTTTCTATTATTAATTTATAGTTGTAATAAATACTTTTTGATTTTATGATCCAAACCAGCTAAAGCAAACTTTTAATAAAGAAAGCAAAAGCTTTATTTTCCTATCATTTATATTATGGAAAAAACCTTCAATTAAGATTTGGAATGTTAGTTCTAAACAGATAGTTTTAATAACTACTTTTATCTAAAATATTATTTATTTGCTGGTGGCTGTAATTTTAGATGCGAATTAATACAGATCGGAAAGGAACAAACAGACCATGAGTCTATTTATATTCAAGTATTAATTTAAATTAACTAAAGGAAAATGATACTGGATATATAACACTTATCATAGGTTTTCTTGAGAAAGTGTTCATGAATAAAGATAAATACCATTGATCAATATCTTTTTCAATGCTTAGAATTTTCCAATTCAGCATAAAAACCAAATGATGATTTTGGCTTTAATAATCCAAATTTATACTTTTCTAATATATTATCTATAGCAAATCTTAGTTATTTATAGTATATATTCTTTAAAATATTAGAAGTAATTCCTAGAAATTATCTTATGAACTTATGAATTTTGGTCCTCTTCTTTGTACACAGTTTAATAGTCGCTGATCTTCCTCATTTGAAAATTTCTTTGCTCTTCTTTTTGACTTTTTTATTTTATCTTGCCTCTCCTATTTGTCTAGTGAACTAATTATTTATTTTATCCTATAGAAATTCTAGGCATTAAAATTATCTAGATTTTCAGTCATATCAAAAAATTTCTAGATAGTTACCTAAATTTCATACAATTATGTTGTTACGAGACTTATGATTATAATCATATCTGTAGTTTTTATATTTGAATCATCTGAGCTATCATAGACTCTTGATACTTCTATGTTTTTTGTATTCTTCTGAACTCTAATTTTATAAGGTTTTGAGACCTCTTAAAATTCTACTTTCACTATTATCATCTTTGTTTTATTTTAGCATTATCACTATTAAGATATAAATAAATTTAATTTATTAACTAGTGTGAGAATTTAATTTATTTTAAATATTATAATATATTTTCCATTAAAAGTGTATTTATTTTATAATTTACCAAAAATTAATCACGATATTCTAGTAATCTTAAATATAATAATTATTAACATCTAATATGCTTTAACCATATAAAAAAACTAAACCGACTCAAATTTTATCCAAATTCATAGTTTTTTATATAATACAAATGGATACTATAATATTTATATTATAGCAGAGAAACTTTATTTGTTTTAGTTCGGAAATAATTAAAGTTATAATATTAGTGCATATTTGCAAATGATATTCTGAATAAATATTATAAACTATTTTATACTCTATTAAGTTTATTGGCTTCTATAGATCTAAAGTTGTCGAATTTTCAGGTAATAATTTGTATATAGAAATAATTGTAATAATAATTTTTATCTTTTGATTATCTTTATTATTAATTAAGTCCTAATATATTTTTATATCAAATAAATTATAAAGTAGTTAGAAAAATTTCTTCTCTTGATTAAATTTAATATAAAATATGAGAGATTAACATATTGAATTGATAGCTGCAATCGGCAAATTCAATCTTAAATCACCCAATCTGATATCTTTAATTTTATAAAGTATATTGATTTTTGTACTTTTTTTGAAATTTTTGAGATAATGGAAATTATTAATGAACTAAGACATAATCTTGCTTTCAAGAATATTATGAAAATCAAAAGTTATATAATCCTTAAAGGTATATATATAGAAACCCTAATTTTAATGAAAAATAAAAAGACATATACTTTAAAATTTTATTTATTCTTTAATAAAAATGTAATATATATTAGATCTCTCCTATTATAATCAAATCTCTTTGTATGTTTTAAGTATGAAAGTATACTGCTTATTTTCTTAATTCAATCAAAGACCATATAATTATTGAGTTTAATTATAAAAGAATTTTTCCAAATTAAATCTTATAGAATGAATGCTATAACAATTTAAAGTTGCTTTACTAAAATTGTGTTAAATAGGAAAATGTACAATAATTTTATATGAATTAAGTGAGGAGGTGATCTAAATCATTAAAATGAGGTCTTTTTTAAGGAGAACTTACTAAGTCATACATCTTATAATTTCAGCAAAAAAAATTAAGTAACACAACTATGCATATAAGTTATGCAAGGGGTTTCTCACAATTTAAGAATAAAGTATGAATAGAAAATACAAATTTCTGTTAGAAAGGTTAGTATAACAAAGGATGAAAATAACAAGAATTAGTTTTATATTAGTTTAAAGTGCTATAAACATAAAATATAAAAGTCAAGAAAAAGAAGGTCTTAATTGGTGAGTTCTCAACAACCAATACAGAAGGCAACTGTTAAAGCAAAGCAAACTTTCATTGCCACTTCTCCAACTACTTTAGTGACACAATCTGTCAAATCCTTTTTTAGTCCTTTTTACATTTTTATATCTGTTTCTTTGTTTATTTCATATTATTCATTATATCTTTCAGTCATCAATGTGATTTAAGTTTGATTGTTAAAGTTTTCAGTCATTTTGTAGTTTTTGCTGAATGTATAATTATATATTAATGAGTTTTAATTAGAACATTTTTGAATATATATACGATTAGATAATGCAGAAAATTATGCATTAATTCTGATGATGCAAATTATGATTAAATTATATCTGGTCATTTCCGATATTTTTAGATGAAATTGAGAGAACACTCTAATAAAGTCATTACTAGCAAATATAATTGCATCTACTTAAATAATAATCTGTTATTGTTGTATTCAAATATGAATCTAATGTTTAGAAGGTAATATTAGATGTTTTCAACAAGCTTTGATATCTGCAACTAAGAAAATCATATTAATTAGGAATAAGTTTACGTCATTAAAATTATTATATATATTTATTACAACTCATTTGAAGTCATTTGAAATTAACACATAAGTAAATAATGATAATGATATAAATTGAAGAATTAGTTAGTGAGAATTCCTTTTTGGTTTTAAATCTTTATTTATCTATAATAGCTTGTCTAGTTGTTAATTATATAATGCAACAGAATCTTTGATTCCTTATATAGGTTCAAGTTAAAACTCTTATTCTAGTCTCAAAGTCATTTATTGAAGCAAATCTTTCAATTCAGACTTAAGGATTTGATTGTACTATAATTAGATGTGTATTATACTAATTGAGAATATCTGATATTGAAAATTATGGACTTAAGTACAACAAAACAAAAAATGTAGTATACATTAACCGGTTGTTGTTATTCATGCTACATTTTTATCCAATGTTGAATAATTGTGAGATGAATCTTAGCTTTGTTATTAACATTATTATTATCAAGGTATTTGAGCTACTTAAATCTTTTCTTTTGATTGATAAGGAAGCGACATTGATAATATTTGTTAATAGCGTTAAAGAAAGTATACTAGTCCTTGTATTAGTATAAAATATTAGAGGGAGCAGCCCACATAAAATAATCAATTATTTCAAGCATTTAATAGCAATTGTCAAACAGATTGAAGTACTGTTCATAATTCTATTGGCAATTTTTCAAGTATTCCTTTCATATAAACTGTCGAATACATTTACAAGAAATTTAGAAATCTCTCCTTTTTAAAGCACTTTTGGTCCAATAATTAATAGAGGGAGGTTTCCTTATTTAAAAAGAAAGAGATATTCAACATTAACAATTTGTAGATCGATTCCTAATCCCTTTGTAAAGTATTTCACTAAGTTTGCCTCTGCGTCATAATAAGAGTTTGCTGTGATTAATTTCCAAGAATTCTCCATAAATAAATTAAATTATAAATCTAATAGAAGAAAATATAAATTAATCATAATTCATTGACAATTGACAACTTTCTTATTTTTTTCATGTTATTTACTTATTAGCTTTATATATTGTCAATTTCTTGCAATGGCATTTTCAATTTTGAAACCTTGAATGCACAAAAATTTTATAACTAATTATTCTAATGTTCAACAGAAAGTTTGTATATTTCTTAAATTGTATTTTTATCAACAGTCTAAGCAATATAGTATTAAGTTTTCTCTTTTAATTACATCATGTCTAAGTAATCACATAGTTCTAAGAGCCTAAAGAGTTCTTCTTTATTCAGAATAGGGAGTGTCAGTTTATTTTCATATGAGAAAATCAAAACTATACCAAAAGCAATGTGATCTACAAAAGATAAATCTAATTAAAGTAATTAGCCCTCTGCATAATCTCCACTAAATAGTTCTCTAAAATATCCTGAAGTATTAAGAAGAACAGATTTATTGACACCAAAACATTTTTCATCTGTTTAGATTAGGCAATCATATTTTTCTTTGTAAAAGTGAATTCCATTTTCAAATTAAAAGAAGTTTTCAAATTAATATTATGGTACTTCTTAGTATGGTTTGGATGGTAATTCGACAGAAAGCGGAACAGAATTAATAAGTGGTAATTCATAGAAGCATAAATCATTTTAATATTTTCCGTTGAACCCACCAAAAATTACTAAGGAATTACCAATAATAGAAGCACTATGTTTTCTTCTTGCCTTAATCTTATTTTAATTGTTAATGATCTAAATCTTACTGTTTTATAAATCAAAAGAGTAGAGTTCATCAGAATCCTTGTCATCTCTTCCTCCAAAAATATACAATAAATCATCAAATTGTATACAAGATTACCCCCATTTAGAAAATTAAATTTATAGTTAAGTCCAAGCCACACTTATATTATTATCGACTTCCTTAAAACTAGCAACATAAATTGAAGGAGTATTAATGTAGGATTAAGTGCATCCACCAATTAATATTAATTAATTATTGTAATACTAAAGAGTTGCAAAACGTCTAGGTTCTGGCTTTACCTAACATTCAACTTTCACAGTATATTGTGTCATGCCACTTAAATCAACAATTTCTAAATCGTCCAAATCTCTACCGGATTCTCCTCCATATATAAATAGTTTATTATCGCCAACACAACCTGTATGATAGGTTCGAGGTATTAAATTAATTTTCTATTTCAGCCAGGTTTTATTATTAAATGAATAGAGATCCCCGAATCGAGTTTTGGACATACCTCCTCCCCCTTGAATATATATGGTTCCGCTGTTGATAAGCATGATATGATTTGATCTGGGCTCTGGCACCTGGCCTTCTTAGTGTATTGTCTACCACATGTTGTTGTCAAAATCATAAGAGTAGAAATCATTTAGATAATTGCCATCTTAATAATATTTCTAAGTCCATACCATAGCCTCCAAAGATATAGAGTTTATCATCCTGCGCAACACTGGTGTGTCCCCATCGACCTTAAGGGCCTTTATTCTAACTACCTATAGTAATCCAGCTCATTTAATGAATTAGCTAATGTTTATATTATCGTTAGAAATTATAAATTAAACTTTAGGTCGACTATAATAAATAAATATATTTTTAATAAATGGAATATAAAACCATAAATTATGAGCAAGGGAAGATTGAATATGGAAGTGAAGAAATATATGTTTCCATCATTTCCAAATTTATCAACATGACCTTTGAAAAATAACTACAAGAATTGTACTTAGCTGTTTAATTGCTTGATTAAAAAAGGATGGAGAAGGCGTGCTTTGTTCTCAAGGGTAGTGTAGGGTAAATCGCTATTAATTAAGGCAGGAAGATAGATCCTTGCATTTGATTATCTGTAAAAAACAAATGCATTATATGATATTGCCAAGAAACAATAGCCTCATACTGACAGAGACATCATTGATTTGTATCACAGATATTTTGACTTGATTGATGCCAGCATTTTATTGGCAGATGAACTGTCCACGGCTGCTAAGCAATTGATAAATATTACAGAAATTCAATCATATAGTAAATTTCAATGCTATGCATAGGGGATACGATTTGGCCCAGTTATATAGAATTTATGTAAAGATACATATAAGAATACAGCAAGCCAAGTAATAATTAATAACGATGTTAGTAATGCAAAGAATGCATCATATTTTGAACAATGTTTATTATATATTTTAACATTTTTCTAAAATTAAGGAATACCTTTTTGGTTCCCAAATTAAGTTCGGATTTTTTGAAATTCCGATATAAAAATTATTAATGATGAATCCAAATAAAATAATATTATTATTAATTCATGATTTTATCATTATTAATACTAAGCTTATCAACTGTTTATGGTAGTGATGACTATGATTACACTTCAAATGGCAAGGACTGGCCAGACATCCATGAATATTGCTTTGGTAAAAAATTACAGTCCCCCATTAACCTAGATAATAATTATACTAACACCAATGTAGAATACACAATCATTAATTTAGGAAGACGATATGTACTTTTTCCCAAAATACAAACCCACCAAAGTGAGAATCACAAAAAACTAAACAACCCATAGAATAATACCAGCTACTGACACCGATAACTTTGGTCCATTGTACACTGTGAATTCTTGGTCAGATAGTGTTGCCTATGGTGGAAAAATCATATTCTTCAGAAGTGAAGCTGAACATAAAATCAATGGAGTCTAGTATAATTTAGAAGTTTAAATCCAACACACAATGCTCTTTGCAACAATTCAAAATAGATCAACCGTCTCTGTCTTTTTCATTCAAGATGACACAGCCCAAAAACATCCATTCTTATAATAGGTATTAATAATCACTAATATTAATCAAGGTGATCGATAACTACAACAAAGAAGATTTTATCTTGGATTTAAGTGAATTGATTACTTCAGCATTTTCTATCTAACCATATTATTTATATGCAGGCTCCTTTACCTATCCAGATTGCACAGAAAGAAATTCTTGGTATGTTTTTGAAAGGCCTTTCAAAGCTCCAAGCTCTTAACTTTCATTTTTCTACAATTTGTATCATAATACCGAGATCTTCCCAAATGGCAACTACAGAGTTGGTATGATTATTGTATTACTTTTATAGTCTAGGACAGAAAATCATCAGCCAAGAATGTCAAAGTATATTATAGAAAAGATCCTTATGCAGCTACAGCTCAGGAGGAATAATGAAATTATATTATTTATTCTAATTGAAGAGAATTTCATTGTTATTAAAGTCAATGTTCAATATATATATATTATTTCTATTTATATTTGTCATTCCGATAAAATTGGTAAACTTTAAAAAACAAAATTCCATGATGTCTTATTAGGAAGTCCATTTATTTCATAATCCTAATCTAGAACATCACCGAATTCATATTTCTAGAGTAATTTTATTTATAGATTGTCTTCATCTAATAATTGGTAAATCTCTAGATCTAACTAGTAACTACTTCCACCCAAGATTATTATCAAATTTTTTTATTCCTCTTGTATAGTTTCTTGATCTAATATTTATCAATTAAGAAATACTTTCCTCTCGTATTATTTTCTTAGTTACGATATTTCTAGAGAACCGTCCATAACATTTTGCTTTAGGAATGGATAACTTTTATGGATGCTTTGTGAATGCCTTTTTATCTTAGTCCATAATTAAAATCTAATCTGAACTTTATTCTTTTGATCCCCCTAAAATTAATACTTTGTTATCATTAATCGGCAAGCAAAGACAATCTAAACCTATTGTAATTCCTAAAGGACATTTATATTTAATTTATTCCCATTCATTTTTTTCTGGATTGTAAACTTCAATTTATGTGGGTGGTATTATTTCATGTTTTTTTTCATTAAAACCAGAAATTCCACAAAATATGTATATTTTATTATTTTATACGAATCCTGAAAATCCAGTTCTATTTTTTTATAAGGGTGCTATTTGTATCCATTCATTTGATCCTTCAATTAACATTTCACAAGAATTAAAAACTCCAAATTCATTAGAATTAACATACTAACCACCTACAACTATAAAAGCTCGTTTATCATTGAGTATTAATTCAAATATTTTATGATTATGTCTTGGATATATCAATGATGGTAATATCTATTATTATTAAATGGAATCGAAAGATGATATTAATACACTATCTTTATTTACTGTTATTTTCATGCAAAAATTGGTTGAAAAATATTAATCTTGATTGTCTTCCTATAAAACTGCTCCGCCAGTGATTAAGAAATCGTTTGTATTTGAAATTCTAACAGATGCAGCATAAAATGGAACGTAGTTCAATTAATCAAAATTAACAAACTTAGAAATCCTTCTAAATTTCTTCTCATATAAATCATATGCGTAGGTCGAATAGGAAGGTAATTAGTCGTCATCTAGTGAAGTTGATTAAAGAATTGGTGTAAATGAAAAGAGATCCCTTACTTATTATTAAATCATCTAATATATATATTCAAAAACACATCTATATCAAAATCAAAAATAAAAATAATGTAAAGGACTGCAAATTCAAAATAAACCCCAACAGGAAGACCACAAGCTTAGCCTACCACTAACACTCAATAAGCAAGAGTAATAGCTAATGTGATTATTAGGCACCTCCACAAATGATTCAAAATATGGCCAGAGTAACAGATCCCAAACATGTACCCAAAGAAATTAGAGATTAATTCTTAAAAAAAATCCATTTTTGTTCATAACCATACGATTTTAATGATGACACAAAAAATGTCAAAGAGAAATAGGAACGTTCATAATACTTACAAGAATTATTTGATTTATTAAAAGAACCTAATTTTGTTGCCAATTTGGTTGTCCCACATTTAGATTTGATCATAGAAATGATTGAAAAGAATATTTTTAGGCCATTGCCAATTTTAAAGAAAACAGCAACCAATGGAGAGATTGGCATGGAGGATGATGATGTAACTTATTTTCTTTTATTAATTAGTAACTCATAGACCCAGCTTGGACACATTTACAACCTGTCTATGAATATTTCTTATAATTAATTGTTAATGAATAGCCTGATGTTAAATCCCTCAAAGTATTTCTTTTATAAATTTTATAGATTTTCATTACTCACTCTTTTATTTAAGAATTCCTTGAATTGTTCGATTCAGAAGAACCCAGAGAAAGAGAATACCTTAAAAATATTTTGCATAGGCTCTATGCTAAATTGGTCCCCAGAAGAAAAATGATTAGAAAAGCAATAAATGATTGCTTCTACACTTTAATCCATGAAACCTACAAATTTAATGGTGCAGCCGAACTCCTAGATATCTTGGCAAGTATCATTAGTGGATTTGCTGTCCCATTAAGAGAAGAACATGTTATATTCTTTAAAACTGTCATTATCCCTCTCCATAAAGTTTAAACTTGTTAGTTTTATCATGAATAATTATTGAGATGTTCCATGCTCTTTTTATCAAAAGATCCAACTTTAGCAACTTTCTTAGTTGAAGGACTCTTAAGATATTGGCCATTTGCTAATTCAGCCAAAGAAGTTATGTTTCTTAATGAACTCTTAGAAGTGTTGGAAGTCTGTGAAATATCAAAATTAGAACCTTTGATTCCAAAACTGTTCAAAAGGTTAATTAAATGTATTGCAGGACCACACCTATAAGTGGCTGACAGAGCTATGTGTTTCTTTGAAAATGATTATTTCCTCACTATTCTGAAGAGTTATAAGCCATTCACCTTTCCCCTTTTAGTTCCAGTCATTGCTCAAATAGCAGACACTCATTGGCATAAGGTTTTACAAGAATCTTTGAATGCTTTAAAGACAATACTTAAAGAAATTGATTATCAAGCATTTGATAAAGCCTTGAATAATAAGGATCCAAAATATTTGTACATCATCCAAGATGCCAAGAATCAAAAGAAAGACAGATAAAAGATTGAAGAAAAGGTACTATATTTCAATTATCATTAGTGGAAAAACCTAACCAAATAGGCATTATAAAAAAATCCCAATTTTAAAGAACCTATCGTGCCCTATTCAGATACTCATATCGTTGGAGAACACAATGGCCTAAACAATGGAAATATTACAATAATATGATTTAAATAATCAAATTCCAAGAATTATTATCAATAAATATGTCAAATCCTTATAATTTACACGTTCTTATAAATTTTCCAAATTTCCTATATTTATAATTTCACATAAAATAAAATATAAATTAAAATGTCTTCCCTTAGCTTTGTCTCATACGAAGAACTAATAGGAATTTTTCAATTTCAAAACACTCATATTTAGTTTCAGAAGGAGTATACTAAAGAATGGTAAGAGTCTGAGATAGTAAAATTTAAAAGATTCATGAGAAGAAATAAAAAAATTAAGAAAGACAAAGTATTCTTCTAATATCAATCCTAATTCATTCAAACTAAAAGTTATCAGCAATGTAGAAAATTTTTAAGAGATTATATACGAAAGGTTTTAGATAAACATAGATATGAAGTACTTAAAAATCATGAAATATTATATTGTTTTGGACCTTTACATCCTAATTTTGAAGTTGTGGAGACTGAAAATAGAATCAAAATGAGAAGAATAAAAGAATAATCCATAGATTAGAATAATAAAGATGAAGATAAAGCATCCATAACAACTTCATAATGACTTTAATATTCTTATATAATATATTCCCATATGGCTTTATATAACTCAAAAACAATTACTGAATATGAATTCAATCCTTTATTTTATCTAAGAGTAAACTTAAAACCAATTGGATGATTTTACTATTTTTGCCGAATGAAATTTCTACTTTTTAAATAATCTTCTTCTAGAAATTATTCTAATCAAAACGTATATATTAAATTTTAAGAATATATAATTCATTTTTAATAAGTATTATTACTTACTATGTTTTCTACTTTTTAATTTACTTCCAGTTGATACTATATTAGTCTAAAGCAATGAAATTAGATTATTTCATAAGATTAAAACTAAAATGATACATGTTTCCATATTCATCGTTTATAATTAAAATTAGCATTTATTTTGTCAATTGAAAGTTTGACTTGTAAACCAATTAAAGAATTTATTAATTAGTATTAAATATCTTTATTAAATTGGAGTGTAGATAATCAATTAATTATATTATTTTATAAGTAGTCCTTATATGTATAAATGATACAAAATCAAAAAATTATTCAACAAGATACTTAATACTAAATATTATTGGGATATTTCAATCTTTATTATTTATATATCGAAACATTTCTTATAAATCTCTTTAATTTTAGTAAGTGATGGTCTTATTTGACCATACGATATATCTAAAATAAATTATTTAGATATAATCTCTAGTTCTTAAACAGCAGTGTAATTATATTCCTTTCTTTAAATACACAAAATAATAAATAAATAATTAATAATTATCCGTTAGATAAATGTCATAGACCGATAAAGAATTGAAAAGGATTGAAGAGTTGGAAGAATAAGTAAATCAAGCCTTAAAGAGAAGCAGATAACTCGATGATAGTACCAAATTTGATGAAAGCTTTTTTAAATAAGAACTTAAAGAGATGTAAGAAAGATGTTAGCAGAATCAATAAACAATGATGAGATTAGAATAAAAGTATTTAAAAACAGGATATGAATTGAAAAATTCAGATATAATTAGAGAGAGTAGTCTTGAAAAAAGTTCTGTTAAATAAAAGAGCTTATTGGAATAAAAAAATTAATAAATCTAAGAACTCTAAAAAAAGTTATTCGATACTGAAAGATAATACAATCAATAATTATCTGAAGTGAATCGAAGAAATCAACAATTGGAATATTAAAATTAATAACTATAGGAAGATTTATAGAATCTCCAAAATTAATAAGACAGTATTCCTGATGTTATGGAATTGCATAGAGCCTTAGAAGAATTACAAAAGCAATACTTGGACCTATAGAATAAATTACAGGAAACCATGAGGAACGATTAATAAGATTATTAATCAATAAAGCAAGAATATGAAGAATATTAATTATTGACATAAAATATTATTAATTAAGAGGAAGAGTATCAAAGAAGAATATGTGAGTTGGAAGAAGAATTATAATAAAGTTCAACATTCTAGTAAGAATTCATGAGTAGGATGAAATCTAATGAAGAACTATATTCATAACGATATAGAGATTTAAAATAAAAGTACTAATAATAGTTAGATGATCAAAGAAAGATTTTAGATTAGTAAATTGATGAATTGAGGGAATAGAATAATTACCTTTTTGGACAGCTTTCTAATGCAGAATGCAAAATCCAGTAGTTAGAATTTGAAATTTAAAGGAAAAACAATCTTCAAACTTCAGTTCATTAAGAAAATAGTGTTGATTTATAAGTATCACGAAGTAAATCATTTTCTGCCTGCCATTAACCTTAAAATGTCAAAACACTTTCAGATTGTGAAATTAATTCTAAAGCAAAGCCTTAACATTATGTTGGGTGCTATAACAAAGGGAAACAGTCTTGTACTCAATAATCACAGTAGATATCAAATAAATAAGATTAAAGAAATGATTACAAGCAATATGACTCAAGACCTGTTAAATAAATCAACATTTCCATTGAAAAAGAAAATATTCAAGCAGATACTCTATCTTCATATAATAAAATAAGATCCCAATCAAAAGAGCAACCTATTACATATAAATAAGTAGCTGAATAACGATAGGCTATTCTCTATTCCAAAATCCCTAAACCAAGAAGATGATTTGATCATTATAAATTCATACTTTTATATATTTATCAATCTAAAAATCCAATCAATAAATAAAATGTGTAGTATACTCAATAAGTATTAAGGAGTTGGTTTTTTATTGGATAAATAATTTAATTATATTTATAATTAGTGAATTTTATGATCAAAAGTAACCTAGAAAAAAAATGTTAAGATATGTTGAGTAATATAAAGTTTGTTTCCTAACACTCGTTATCAAATGAGGGAAAAGAAATATCACTTAAATTATTTAAAAAACCAGCAAATCTGAATTACTTTGACCAATTTCAAAATAATGAACTTACACTAGAAACTAATGAAGCTATGGAGACATTAAATTTATTGACTCATTATATCAAAACTAATCATAGTCATAGGCCAGAAGAGGTCAATTACTTTTCAGATGATACTCCATCTGAGATTCTGCCAAACACAATTCCCGAAAGTATATCATCCCCACCATCCCCTTTCACAGGCATTTGTCTTCGCCATCCCTGGTCACCCGGCACATCCTTCTTTCCCCTTGCTTCCGGCCGCCTTGTCACCCTCCTGCGTGTCCCGTCCGTTTCTTCTCCCCTCTCTTACTCCTCTCCCCCCTTTCATTTCCCTCATCCATCTCTCTCACTCTTCTTCATCTTCTTCCTCCCCTTCCTCCCTTATACCCTATATTGCCTTCTTTCCCACCTCTTCCTTTTCATCACATATATCATCTC